TGAGAACGCACGCAGGATCACTCTCAAGGAGAAAAGACAACGCAGAAAGAATCGTGTCTTGCTGAATATACCACCTAAGGAGTCTTTCTGCTGTGCCTTTTGCAGTCGGATATGTCTATCTCGTATTGGCCTCATAAACCACCAGCGTGCTTGTGACAAACGTGGGTAGAGCCTTCCTAAATCTTCGTTCGCGAAGCCTAGCCATGAAAAAAAATGAAGATATGAATGTACTTGAACTTTGGACCACTGTTAACTGGTCATCTGATGAGGTAGAAATGTGCTGTAAGATGACAACTAGCTTTCATTGGGCAATGAACAGATGTTTAGTATTTCATGTGCTTTCATCTGGGAAGGTGCTATTGAGGAGCATCTCTGTAAATTGAAGAGAGTTTAACATTTACCTGGGTTACAGCTAAGATGCTTAAGTGATAACCCATACTGCCCCAAACCATTTAGGCTGGTAACAGCAGGAGGAACTCCATATATAATTTGGTGCATTAACCAAGACACAGAGAGGCAAAATAATGCCAGGAGTGGAGTGAAGTGCAATATTTATAAGAATTCAGCAAATTGCAAGGGTTTGGTGGTTTTGTTTTTGTTTTGAGAGCCGTTATTAGAAATTTTGCAATAAGAGAAATTGTTTATCAAATAATTTTACATGGGAAGGCTCTGTAGCAAAGAGTCACCTGGAAGCCATATGTCATATGCAAGGGAAAGGATGACAACAGGGGCTCCTCAGGAATGGAAATGTTATCCCTGTCTGTGTGGCTGTGAGAAGGACTAGATTCACCGAAATTTTAGGGTGTGTTCTGGGAGGGTTTCACATACATATAACCAGCAAGTCAGTAGCTCTTTTTCTCCACATACTAAGATGTGGGATCTCTAATGTCTTCAACAGGACTTGTTGCTCAGAGAGAGTCCTTTGCTGAGTAAACACAGTTTTTTAATGTTCTTGTAGATAATTGAGCCTAGAGTTATTTTGTGTCTAACTCAATACAAAATCTTGGCATGCACAAATCAGTTCAATTTGTTATTTAAGCCTGGGTGACAGCTGAGTCTCTTGATGCATTGTTCATCATCGTCCATTGTCAATGCATAGAGGAACACACCACAATCAAAATCCACCCTATATGTAACCCCTCTTCCATTACATTTTTTTTTCATCAAACCACAACGATACAAGATGTGCTATTCACTAGCTAATCTCTATAATTATTTTTTCACACTCCTTTCATGACCAAGTGAAAGCTGTTTTGCAATAATAGAGCCTCTCCGAGGGTAAAAGAGGTGACCTGCCACAGTGACTCTATTTGCAGAGATGAGCAGAATGAATCAAGCAGAAGGTCAGTGCTTTTCAACCATACTATATGCTCTGCTCTTGCCAGTTTAGCTCATGAAAGACTTTGCTGTCCTTGAATGTTAGTCTTATGTTCCGTGAATGGAGAGTAGCTCCATCCGCTCTGTTTGGTAAAGGCAGCAAAAACATCATGGAGCAGCTCTTCGAGACTATTCATGTCACTTGTAGCTCCTATGAAGCTTTTTTCAATAATTTTATCTCAAATCTTTGAATCCTGTGGGTACTTAATACTATATGGTATTTCTTCAGGGATGAATGGCCACCAAAATAGGGACAGACAGACTCTTGTGATGTAGTTGATCTTTCACGCATATCACAGAAGAGACATCTCAGGGTTTTTTTAACAAGTAATGAAACGTCTTATGCCTTTTCCAGATCTGTTTCGTCTTTGCTTTTACTCTCCAATTCACTAAAAACTTTTGGTACAGACAGATGAGGGCATTATTTTCTCTTAAAACTTAACTTCTTGACATCTAAGGAGTACCTTCTTCCTGTCTCATTGCAGGCTGAGAGGAACACATAATATTAAAATCAACTCTATTTGCGCTTCACTTCCCAGAAGGAAAAATTTCTGTTCTGAACCACCAAGATAAAGTGTATATGCTGTTCACTGACTCCTGCTTAGGTTTATTTTTCATGCCTATTCTACTCTTTCAGGCCCCTGTGCTCTCCCCCAGGTTTAGTTTAGCTAATTGGTTTAGCTATGGCCAGTGGTGGTGCAGAACATTTTAAAACATGATGATTACATGTGAATTAAAGTATTTGTTATGAGATGAAACTTCATTAATCTGCTTCTTTAATTCATAAAGATTAGAGGAATGACATAAGAGGATTGTGTGGCACATGCTACTCTTATCTGGCCAGTTTCCCTGAGATTCCCATGAATCTAGCTAGCATGAGAAAAACATATTCCCTGACCAGAAAGCAAAGCTTCTGCTGCAAAAGACAGCTACATCCTGTTCTCTGCTAACAGTCAGAATTCAGATTCAGACCCTCGGTATCTGTGGGGTTTCATTTTTGTTTGTTTTTTTTTTAAGTCACATTGTGAATGCAAAATGTTTGATTTTCATTGTAAGTCACTTACAAGTCCAGCTCTGAGAGCCACAGCCGGAAAAATAAACTTCCTCTTTTCTCCCCAGCTGAAAAAATGTCCCTGCAACACATTACCTGTTTGCAATGAGCACTTGATCAAATACGATCGCTGAAAAATGCTTCTTCCCTTGTTTAAATCTTAAGGCAGGTATACAGCTTTGCCCTTAAGAGAATTGCAAAACAGTTGTGCAAGTGCTTGGAGCCAGGTGCAGAGACCTCTTGTTGATCACTCTCTCAGTGCCTGGCCCTGAAAGTGCACGTCCCAAGCATAAGGACAGGTGACTCTTAGGAGCAGAAACAGCTCTGGTCATTAAAGAACTAGTTCTGTAAATGCTGAGGGTCTGTTACTACTGCAAAGATCAAGTTCATTTGAGTTCTGTTTACATGTGGTTATAGAAGGTATGGTTTGAACCTTTCACTGGACTATTGAAGAAAACCTACTGGGAGGCACTCAGACCTATGGCATATAGCTATTCCTCTGTCATAACCAGGGCTCTGAATGGGCCTCAGATTGCTGTTATGAGAATATTTACCAAGCATATTCATAGGGAGAAAACCAGCATTTGTAAAAGCTTGCTTCGAGGGAAATGTGGACAATTAGTCCTATTTAAACTCAGAGGCTGGAGGAAGCCTTATCATCTTTTTGGGTTAGATCTTTATCTAATATAGGTTGGGACAGCAATGCTGTTGTTAGCCAACTTACGTTTTACACTGGTTGAATCAGCCTTTACTGGTGAGTGCTTGATTCTGGTTACATTTATCACCTGAGACTTCAAGCTGTGTCCCTTCCTAAACATTGTTACTGATGAGTGAAAAGGTACTGCTTGGGAAAAGCTTTCACAGCCAGTGTTTCACGTTCAGGAGTCTCCAGACAACAGGCAAGTGTGAGAGGAAAATCTTCATTCTACATTACTGTATTAGTTAAAACAAACAGCACGCCTCTCTGCTTTTGCACTTCATGTTGTTGCTTCATGCAATATAAACACAGATTAAGGAGGTCCTTTAATTTGTTGTACCTACTTTGGGGTTTTGATGCCTTGCAAAAATAAAAACCTTGGGTTGGCCCCCGCTCTGTTGGCATAAAGCACTTGAAAAAAACCAGCTTAAGTCATCTTAAGTTTAAGACTCCCAAACTTGGCATTTTTGTTGACACAGTAGCTAAGGCATCCTGCAAAGCAGTGCAATACTCCAATTATAAAATTTCTCAAACCAGGTAGGAAAACAACTCAAGGTTCTCTATGAAATTGAATTACATGAAGTACAAAAATGTAAATTATTATTGCCTTTTCATATGCAATGTCATATGAAATATGAATATCATTCACTCCATTCCTCTATGACTCATGAAAGCATGTTATAGATATTAGAATGTGAATCAGAAAGAATTAGAGAGAATTAGACTGTGAATCATGAAGTGAACTAAATTTTGCCCAAGTAATTTGTATAGCCTCAATTGCTTCAGCATCAGAGCTCCTAAAGATATTTATTCCTACTGTATCAAGTCTATGACAGATGAGTAATATCAAGTCCTTTAATTATAAGGGAATTGAGGCAAAGAGAAATTGGTGACTCTGTCAGACAGGGCAGATAGCTCTACAAAATATTTGAAAGTCCATGCTAGTTTCCCATTCATTTAGCTCATCTGTATTTCTGTAGCTGCCTGAAAAAAATATCATCTTCCACGGAGAGCTAAAATATAAGGAGAGTAAACGCTCTTAATAGAGCATGTATGTCTATGAAGACAGGCTGAGAAAGTTTGGGCTGTTCAGCCTGGAGAAGAGAAGGTTGCATAGAGACCTCACAGATACCTTCCAGTATCCAAAGAGAGCCTACAGGGAACCTGAAGAGGGACTCTTCATGAGGAATTGTCCTGATAGGACAAGGGAACGGCTTCAAACTGAGAGAAGGTTTAGATTAGAGGAAGAAATTCTTTACTGTGAGGGTGGTGAGGCACCGGCACAAGTTGTCCAGAGATGCTGTGGATGCCCCATTCCTGGCAGTGCTTAAGACCAGGTTGGACAGGGCTTTGAGTAAGCTGGTTTAGTGAGAGACGTCCCTGCCCACAGCAGCAGAGTTGGAAAGAGGTGACCTTTAAAGTCTCTTCCAATCTATGCCATTCTATGATTTTATAACATATCATTCAGTTACCTCACACTTCTGTTGTAAGACTATATAGTTGAACTAAGACCTAGAAATATTAAGTGTGTCTTTATGGGGAAAGCTCTCTTGAAAGAAATAGCATTAGATATTTTGTAGCAATCTTTGACTCTGAAGTCACAACCACTACATCCAATAAAAGCATCTTTCATAATCAAAAAGTCCCAAACTTGTGCAGGTCTTTTCCACAGAGTTGAAAATGATACAAAAAAAATGGAAAATTCTTTCCATAGACTCACAGTAAAATAAAGGTGGGGTTTTGGAAACCAGTTAGTTCTAAACAAAACAAGATCAAATATCAACTTGTCTTTGGAATTCCTTTTTTTACCTGCAGAACAGCTAGTAACAGGATCCCAAGTATATGGGTGAGTAATGGAGTCACTGTAACATTAAATGTTTACCTTAATTATAAGGCATTTATTTGAAACAGTTGTTGCTCTCTAGCTGTAAGGGATATTCACATTGTCATTTGAAAAAACTCAAGCAATTGCAAATAAACTGCATTTTCACAGTTATCATTAGCTTGGATTTGCTATCTCTGTTGTGAGCCAGAGATACTATACGACAAAGAGATTTCAAAGCTCAGGCTTTGCAATAGACTGCAGGCTCACTGGGATTAACTGTGTGAAGACATTTGTACAGTTCAGTGAGGAGCAATCAGGACCAAGACTCACCAGTGGTTTAAAATGTACAGGCACAGCAGTTTTTACCTTCAGCTGACCACATACTTTTCAAAGGCTGGAGCCTCAAAGAAGGTTGGAGGTGTTTCTGAGCCACCACAGTCTGCAGCTTCGCACAGCAAGGCACACTGAAATTAGTGTCAGATGTGTTACATGAAGATTAATAAATCATCAGAGTTCACGAGGAGCTACACATACTTTTAGCTGTTCTTGCTGCAAGGTAGAAAGTGTGCCAATAAGGTAACACTCCATAAACAGTGAAGCACCAACCATTTCAACTTTCAATCTCCTCCATCTGATTTAGGATGGGAAGAAAGAAAACATTTTGAAGTTGTACTAGGTATACTCACCAACATGACAACTTGGAACTAATAGTGGTTGTTTTAACCCTCTACACAGATGCTAGGACTTTGTTGTTAAATAAATACAGGCTTGAAAGCAGCTTCATGACACTAATGAAAAGCAGGAGCACATTAGCTCAGCAAACAGGTATTCCCGTGTACTATGCCATACTCTGGGTTCATGGAAATTATTCTCTGTATTTAAACAAGAGAATTTAAATAGCCCTGCATGAGGGACCATGCAGCAAAGAAGGAAAGATGATGACCTTGGATCAAGCAGTCTTACTGGCAGTAGTCATGAGGTTCTAAGACCAGAGTAGCTTACACAAACCAGATCTCAAATGAATATTTTATAGAAATCTTCAATCAACTCACAGCCTTTGGTTCCTAAGAGAACAAAAGATCTCCATATGCAAGATTCCCTTGAGGATTGGTTAAAGGGCAATGATTTAGCAGTTTGAAGCAGTGCTGACTTCTCAGTATTATTACTACTAAGGTATTGTGATGCAAATAGCTTATACCAAACATTAAGAGTGATGAGAAGAGATTTATTTTAGTTTAATAAGTACTTGAAGTTCCTATTAGGGGCCAAAGTACAGGGCCTTGCCTGCTAGGGTGGAGATGTCATAGGTTATAGGAGCCAGTATTGCCATCTTATTTGAATGAATCCTGGGTATATGTGGACTAGTTCTTTTTTGCTGATTGATGGAGACCTGTTGCCGCACGCTCATTGGAGCACTATCCTGGGGTACACGGTGGGGTCTTAAATGCTTTTGGGATGCTGCAGCTCTGTTGGCATTTGTCCTAAGCAGAGAGTCTTACCTGTGTGTTGACACAGGACCTCACAAGCCAGCTGACTTCTCATGTTACCACTATCTCTTCCAGATATGTCAGTAGTTTCCATGGTCTCATCCTTTGGCATCACATTTCCAGATGAGGCACAGGGAAGGTAATTAACTTACAGACAATCACGATGGGGAGTCTTTTTGATAGGGTGGGTCTTATAACTCCTTTTTATAGTTCATCAATTAGTAAGAATAATGCCCCAGAGACCCATACAAAAGAAAATATTCTTTTCTGCAAGAATCATTAGACCAGCTAGTACAATTAAGAAAGACGAACAAGTTTCAAGCAGATACTACCTCTTTCTTGTATGGAGATAATAAGCACATAGTATTTGATCTCAGGAGAAATTTATGTCTAGGATGGCAATCCATTGGTTTACAGGAAAATTCTTGATGGGGGTGGAATTCTTTTATAGAAAGGTAATATCCCCCCGAAGAAAAAAAAATAAAAACAATAAAATGGGATTGATAGAAAATTTGCAAAGTAAGAAAATGTCAATTTTCAGAAAAGCTTTTCAGATCAGTTCTTTTATAATAAATCTTGAGTTTTACTATTGATCCCCACAGAAGTAGAATGGGATTCAGTGGTGTTGATGTCTCTCTATCCCAGTGATGTAATGGTGAGTTTTTGAGGTTGTGCATTTGGAAAGAGCAGCACCAATGCAGTAATGTTCTTTATATCTCTTAGATTCCCTTCAGCACAGGCAGCTGTGATTTATAAATTCCTGTGAATTCTCATGAGTCTAACAGGAGACAGACTGTTCTTCCAAGAGGTGCCTAGCACCAGAAGTGTGTGGGCTATCTGGGATCCAAGACTCCATGACTGTTTTTGTGATGTTCTGGCTCCAAACCCCTTGTTTTCTTTATTTTCCAATTACTTTTCATTGCAGGGCACAATGTTAGTTCATCTCACAGGAATTTGTTTACTGTTTTCCACTATTTCAAGCCTCTTTCCTGGTTAGTTTTCAACTTGGAAATTACCTTTTTCCACACAGACACATTTTTTTTCCCCCTAAAGTTCTGATTAAATACTATTTTTTCCCACTTTTTGCCTTACTCCGGTAAGCAACATTAATACTCACCAAAGAACACTAGTTGGCCTGCAGCTGTATTTTTCACTACGGTTCAAGGTCTTCTGAAGTTGAGGGTGCCTTCTTTGCTGGATGCTGGCCAGTAATAACACACTAGAGTAAAAGCAGGGAAAATAACCCAGGCATTTTAAAGCGCACTCTTAATCTGATTTTATTTCCTCCTTTCTACCCCTCTTTCCATTTTGTTTTTACTCCTTTTTCTTCTTTTCTGTGTTATGTTCTCTCTCGCTCATCCCCACCCCCTCCTGCCCTAATGATATTTTGTATGCATTGTGGGCTACAGTCAGGAGAGGGAATTTGATTTTGTGGTGAAGTTCTAACAAAGAAAAAGTGGGACATTTAAGTGGGTAGGCAAAAAAACACATTCAGTATGGAAAATATATAGATGTATAGATTTTTCTTCCACTTCTACCATACTATTTTCAAACATCTTCAAACTATATCTTTTTTTTAGGGCTTAAATGTACAAAATAAATGTACCAAAATTATAAGATTAATTGTTTTGCCTGCCTCTCCTAGTCCATGGTGCTTACATCAAGGCTAATAGGCATTTGCACATTAGAGGATTCTGTTTCCTTAGTGATCTCGTACAAGCATTAAATCCAATTCCTTCCTTTAAGTCAAATAGTTAGGATGCTGAGGTTACAATTAGGGCTTTGAAGGAGGAGGATATTGAGACAACAAAGAAGTTGGCATTTCATAATGAAAAGTCACCATAATCTGCAAGATGTTTTCTTGGGAGTCCTTTTAATTCTTACAACCAAAATCTCAAAAGTCTCATATTGCTAAGGGAAGAAAGAAGAAGGAATTCAAGAGCCAGATCTGCTGTCTGTGCAAACAAAATGCCCAGCACCTTCTGGAGGAGCCCTGGGAGAAATGCTGTGCTGTATTGATGATGTATCATCACACTACTGTGAGCATGATGGAGTAGAGAAGTGGAACCATGCCCTGCATTGCCAGAATAGCTCAAGGTTAAGTGTAACATAAATCCTAGCAGGCAACAGGAAAGGCTCTGCTGATACCTTGCACAGTAGCAGCTGGAAGACACTACAGTTACAATTGGCTCCTACTCTAAGACTGGTTTTCTTAAGATGTGAGTGCTTCTCTATTTCAGTAGTAAAATATTTTAAATTGTAATACCATTTAAAACAAAGAACATATTATGTCACACTGTAATACACAATATCCACAGAAATTTAAAAACTGTTTCATAATATGCATACACTTCAGATTAATTTAACATTTTGCCTTGGCTCTACTAATTTTCTACTTTCTAAGTGTCATTTACTTTCTAAATATATAAACTGGGTTAAACTGATTAGTCACAGAAAGGCAAATTGGGAGCATTCTGAGAGGTAATTTTTCCTGTTCTAAGAATATAATCAAATAGCGCATCCCAAAGGGGTGAGAAAGATTCTTTGAATTTTTTTATTTTTTTTTTTTAATAAAGATAATTACAGTGAGAGATGTACTAGATTAGGACAGGTTGCCATATGCAGCCAACTGTATCTGTGTGTATATAAACCAACCAACTCCCAACAATTGTATCTGAATCTCTGTGTACAGTCTGAGGGAGACGAGAATTACTTGTTCAAGAACTAGATTTAAAATAGCATTTCATGTCTGTCTGCCTTCACAAGATGCACAGAAGGGTGACCAGCACTTGAGCAGGTATCCTGTGTGCTTCTGCTAGAAGGGTTAGAGTTGCCCTGTACTTCATACCCTGCATTGCTAAGAGAAGAGAGCCTGGGGCTTTAACTCATGCTGTGTGCCAGAGCCTGCACTTCATTCAGTCACATTGCTAAGGGACAGCTAAGACAGAGAGTGGAATGAAAACCATGATGTTCTGTAAGGAGAAAACTCATTGATGTCATGGCAGGCACAGAGGAAGTAGACAGTGCAAAGCAAATTCAAGGCAGTAGGCATCTCAAAAGGGAAAATATTTCTCCCTTTGGTGGAAAAAGGGCTGGAGAACTGTTCTTGTACTTTTTTCTTGGATCCAACAGGAAGTGTTCAGTTCCCAGATTGTTTGCTGTTCTTTAAACTTGTGCACTGTAGTTGAGGTGACATGCTTGACTTAAATCCATCCATCAGTTTCTTCTCCTGCAGCTTTAATGTCTGGTTTCTTAGCATATCTCTTATTCCTTCAGAGGTACTTTCTTGTGCTCAGAATATTTAAGCTACACTTTGATAAATACCTGAGGTTTTTATATTTTGTACAGCAAATCACTGATTTGGTTTCCACTGACCTTCATTTCCTTGGAACAACATTAATTTCAAGTTCTGTATCTTCACTTAAACATGAAATGCATTAGTCGGTGATATGATAGTTTGAGTTCTACTTTATTACACTTAGGTGGAGATGGTGAAATCAAATGGTTATATTGACCTGAGCTCAAGTTTGGATTCAGTTCTGACCTTCGAAACATGCAGAGTTCCTGCTGATTACAATGAAAGTTAGACATACCTAGCCAAGACTCAGCATTTGGCCCTCACTCAGAATGTGTATTAGGTTTTGCTTTTCTCTAGATGTAGAGGTAACGTCAAAAACATTGTCTATTTGAAACTTGTTTTCTTCTGGTTGTCTAAAGTGAGGTGTCTTTTCCCATCATCTGATCCCAACCTAAAATCACAAAGCTAACCGCTAGTTTTGCCAGCTGTAGTTCTCCCAGCTTGCCAGTACTTTTGCATCAATGATGAGGACATCACCTCATCAGGTCACATCACCTTGTTGACACAAAGATATGCCTTTGCAATGCAGCCCAGGGATGACACAGGTGACACACTGTTTCACAAGCAGAAGATTACGTCAGTTCTTATAGGAAATTCCCCCTAGCCAGGCACCTCATGAAAAACAGTGGTTTAGCTGTTTAGATGGTACTTAGGTGTGTTTATACAGGAACTGTTAAACTAACTTAGCAATAACACATTTCAAACTACCACCTTGCACAATGGAAAAAAAATGCTGAAAACAGCTAAAAGGAATGTTAGTTTGAATGGTCTCAACAGAACTGGCCAAAATTTTTTAGCACTTACTTTAGTGTCATTCCAATAGAGTGCATAGAAAGTTGAAGGTGAACAGAGTTTTCTCATTCCGGTTCCAATCAAAGACACAGCAAGAAGTTTCCTATACTGGGAGCTTACAGTTTCTGAAGACAAAAAGAGAGAAAATTCTGAGAAAAAGGAAGAATTACTATATAGTTACTGAGACAAAAGCCTTAGGCAAAGAAAGAAGAATGACTTGCTCAAAGCTACCAGAGGTTGTGGTGTTCTGAAGACCTTCACTCACTGCTTCTGGACAAAATAGTAGAGTATTTTTCCACTCAAGTTTTGCTCCTTGGGGTAGCATTTAGCACTGTGCATGGCAGAGTAAAAATACAAATAATAACAAATAAAAGTAGTTCAGATCAGCTTGTGGTTTATGTCTACCCACTGTGTGTCTATGTCTCCCACGATGCAGGTGAAAATAGCTGTCCAGAAGGATAATTTAGATCAACTTTTAAGTAGTTCTAGAAACAGAACTGGAACAGACATGGGAAAGAAGGGAATCACATTTACTGGCAAAAAGAGACTAGGAGAGTTTGGATGAAGTGCTAAGACAGCCTTGCTCACCTGACCACAGCTACTGCTGTGCTGAAAGCACCACAGAAAGGTCCATGTAACATATTGTAATGCTTGTGACACAACCCACAGTGTGCTGATAAAACAGGTATGCAGTTCTGAAGCCATTTTATGCAGTTTACTATGAATTTTTAAGACTGTTGTACTGAGTTAGGTGGTGTGCTTCTAATGTTAGAATAGTCCTTTCCTGTAGCAACCTAGAAACCAAGTTTTGGAATAGCCTGAATTCCAAAAAATCTTGGGGAAAACTGAAATTGAAAGAATGTTGGTGCTTATACGTAAGGATTTAGATACGTTTATATAAGACTTAGATGCATATAAAGTAGAAAGTGAGGATTGTAAGGCACTATCATTTAAGAAGGTAGGGCTGGAAGAAGCTTCCTTGTATGTAGAGGGGAAAATTTCCTTTCTGAATTCTTAAGAAGTTTTATGGGGTTGATTTTTTTATTTTGTCTTGGCATACTTCATGTGCACAGGTGCCACCAGAGTGATGGCTGCACAACTTCAGGTAAAGTTCTCATTTTATTCTGGCAGGATCATTTTCCTGGTTTTCCTCTGGAAGCAATTAAAACTGTTCTCCTTTATAAGATTTGCTGGTTTAAGTTTGGGCACCCAGAGAACAAAATATCACACAAGTTTTTGTCAAAATGCTGGATTGGAAATCCATATTTATGAGCAGCTTGCTATTCTCTTTTTGCTGCTTCTCTCACCTTTTTACTGTCTTTTTGTCTTTTTAAAAATAATCATGTTTATATTTCTGTCAATTCAATTATTCAACATTTATTTGACGTGTCAGAATATTTGGAAACATTAAATTAGATAAATGGTCTCATACCAAAGAAACAATTGAAATGCTAATGTAGACGTAGATCCTTCAATCCTGATATATTCTTATATGGTAGAATATTAGGGCTGACTCTGTCTCACTTGCTGTATGAGCAATAAAAAAAACCATCTCTGAAATGGAAACACTTCTAAGTATCTTGGTCCATATAAATGCCAAGTTGTTTCCATCTCTTTGAAACACAAAGTCCAGCACGTTTGTCTTGCAATACTCAGGTGAGTGTTTTCATAGAATAACAGAATCATCAAGGCTGGCACTATCACTGTAACCACATCATCCAGTGCCAGATCCAGACACATCTTAAACACCTCCAGGGATGGTGACTCCACCACCTCCCTGAACAACCTATTCCAATGTCTGATCACCACAACAGTGAAATTTTTTTCAAATCTGGATCTCCCTTGTCCCATCTTAAGGCCATTTCCTCTTGTCCTCTACTGCAGGCACAGTAGAAGAGACCAGCCCCCACCTCACCACAACCTCCTTTCAGGTACTTGTAGAGTGATGAAGTCCCCCCTTGAGCCTTCTCAAGATTCACATTTTAAAATGGTAAATTTAAAAATGAAAGCTCAAAATACTAGAAAAAGATAAAAGTTTCACAGAAACCTTGTGCAATTACTTGTAGTAGACAATTCTGTGTAAAAACTATTTAAAAATGTATCCCTTTTTGTTTGAAGATATAAAACCTAAAATAGGTGCCTAATTTGTCTGGGGTTTTGTCTGTTTTGTTTTCTTTTTCTTATATAGAAAACAAGGTCTTACTACCTAACAAGGGATATTTCTTCAACTTTTCTTTTTTTCTACCATAGAATTTTTAAGCGTAAGAACAGCCAGCATTTTTAACTTTGTCCTTCTTTCATTGTTCTTTCATTGAACTGATGTGGGAGGAAACAAAACATCTAGCAGAAACTAACAACCTCTGTTAGATGGCATGAGGACGAGAATGGTGGAAATACCTACTCTGAGTGCAAGGGTCAGAGTTGGACTCTGTAGCAACAAGCACAAGGAGAGAACTGGAAACAATAATCATTTTTCTTACTTGCCTGGCTTTCTGAGACCCAGTAATCTTTCAACAAAAGACCCTTTAGATATGTAGATATTTGGGATTGAGGGAGAGGTGTTTAATTTCACCATCAGCTCCTTCCAGCCAAAGCTACAATTCAGCGGCTTTCACCATCATGCAGAAGAAGAGTTGTCAACCAGCAGTTAAATACTGACATGAATAGTGCCTTTGTAAATATTTCTGTTCTGCCTTTGAAAGCACACAAGCCAAAACAAAAAAATCTTCTGACAACCTGCGAAAAACAAAACTGAAACGCTTCAACAGCCTTTGGAGCTAGAAAGTTGGCCAAATAAACTCTTAAAAATTGAATGCCCTTTGTCAGGCAGAGGAAAGTTTGTGGTCTGAGAGTTGACCATCAGGCAGTCCAGCAGTGCAGCTGTGCGTCTCAGAAAAGCATTTCTTAGTTGTGTCAGTTCATTGGTTGCATTTTTATTTCCAATCATAAATTTACATTCATTCACAATCATGAAGCATTTGCAGTCATCGTCATATTCATCTTGAGTAGTTTTCCCTATTAAAAGCATTAGCAAGACACTGAGTTTCCAGATCTTCAGTCAGATTTGATACATTCTAAGTTCTGCCAAATAATCCCCAAGTTGAGTGATTTTCTTACCTGGAAGAATAAGGATTTGAGTCTGTGTTGTTTCCCTTTTAAAATTCTGAATGCACTTTGTGTCACAGACTCAGCCTGACTCTTTGGTAGCACCAGAAGAAAGCATTAGGTAAGTCAGGTTTAGATAAAGTATTTTTTTGTGTGATTAAGTTACATAAGCTTATCTCTGACTTTAAATACAGGAAGGTTTTGAACTATTCAAAATTGGTGAAATGCTGGACAGCTTCTGAGATGTTTTGCTTGTTCTCCATGGCTGGTTGCACTGAAGTTGTTAGTCCTGCAGCAAAGTCTTTCCAAGTGTGAAGTGCAGAGAGTAGAGGTGGAGTCAAAGAAAGAGAAGCAGTTTTTCTAAGAGGCAGCAGGAAATCAAGAGCCTCCCTCACATACACGAAGAAAATATTTTTCATATATTTAAGTTTATAATCATGTATATTGCATAGTGTCATGGACACGTATTGCAGAAAACATTGCAGGCAGTGATAAACTATAGAGCATTGCGACTGAAGTGGAGCAGTTATCTGGAGATGTACAAACACAGGTGCAAAACTGAATATTCAGACTTCTTTAGATTACAGGGCACATAGGTCAAAGCTGCCAATTTATCTACTGTTTTTATTCTAAATTGTACTGGATTTTAACTTTCAGCAGGGATGGCAGGAAAATTACCTCATCCAGTATCTGGCAGACTCAAGAGCAGCACCACTGCTCAATCTGCTCAGAGGCTGCTGGGAGTCCAAATTCTCTTATGAAAAAATCCAAGAGTTTGTGTCCTACCTCTTTGTGGGAAAGTTGGGGGGGTTTTACAGGATAAACTGTGTCATACAACAATCTGGGGATGTTTTTTTTCAGTCATCTCACATCTTATGCATAACAGTTAATGCCCTTTGGAAGGGCATGTCTATATTAGAATTGTTATGTTTTCAGCAGTTACTTAAAGTTAGATCAACAGTTCCCTCCAGACAGTCATTGCTATGTCATTCTGCACAGATTTACAGCTTAGTTAACCTGTGTCTTTATTTGTAGGTCATCCAAGATCAGTTCAGCTGACTGTAACCTTCCACTTACATTTTAAAATTCAACTAGTCCTGGTAAAATTCCACTTTATGTATACTCAACAATATTTATATTACAGCAGTCCAGTTGCCTGCTTCCAGGTGCACTTGGTAGGAAGGTCTTCAATTCTTTGGTCACTGGGAAAAGAAAGAAATTCCCTGACATGCCAAGACCTAGCAGCATCGGTAATGCAAGAGAAGGATAGAAGCCAAGGGTCTTTGTAAAATGCGGAATGGGAAAGGCACCTAAGTAACTGCAGGTGCAAAGGAGGGATCTCTTTCCCAAACAGAAAGAGATTCTTCCAGGTAGATTCTTTTACAACATAACAATCTTCACTTAGAAATAGGATCTGGAAATCTAAGATACAAATGTGAATCTTTAGACAGAGAACTAGTATGCAGCTTCCGCTGAGGGCAATACTGCTAGTCAGAATGCAGGCTGGGATAAACTTCCTTAAAATTATGAGGTATGACCCATGTTCTCAGTTTAAAGCAGATCAATGCCAGATTCCTTAAACAGGAAGAAGCAAATATAAACTTCGAGGTAGAAATACTTTCCAAATGCTGCCTGAGTTGAGAAGATATGCATATAGATAGATGGAGGGATACACACAGAAACAATCTAGCATCCAAAGGGAAGCCTAAAGTGTAGGGTTCTGGCTCACGTTCTGTGGAGCTCTGTGGGATGAAGCTATTGTTTCCCATGGCACCAGCAATACTTCCAACCTGCTCTTGTTAATGTAGTAAAATTGGAGGCTTAGAATGAAGAGCAGAAAATAACTAGGAGAATCTTGTTATTTATCCTGGTGTAGTATTCTTATTGTGGTCACTAAAAACCTACCTTTAAATTTTGAATTTGCAGTCAGTGCTTATAGCAAAATACATTTTTTTCTAGACTTTCCTCTAGAATGTGTAGTTATTTTGTCCACTAAAGTCAATGAAGTAACAGTGACCTA